TTCGGCGAACCAGAATCGGTCGATGTTGAACGACCGTTCGGAACAGCCCACCCGCAACCGCCCTGGGGCATCACGTTCTTGGGAGTGCCAGATGCCCTGCGCACAGGGCCCCCAAGCACAGCCACCCGTAACAGGGGTATCGCCGTCACCTCGCTCTGCCCCTTGTACGCTCTTGCGCCGCTTTTACTTACCAGCCTCGAACGTAACCCTATCCCTAAGATTGACACACCAAAAGGTGATGCCAATCTTAGGGGTTCGCCCTCAACACATAAGGGAATCCCTAAGATTGGCATCGTGACGAGGAGGTGCCCAGCATAGGGGTAGGGATATGTTCCAGGCTGGTAATGTACGGCCGATCGAGGATACGAGAAGTTGTATCCGGGAGCCTGCGCGAGGCTCCGACTCTGCAGCCTCCCCCCCCTCCGTCAGGGGAGTGGCCGCGCGGATTGCTGGTCGAGGCTTCCCGCCCAGACCGGAGTAGTTCCCAGCTCGCTCAGCACCTTCGTCGGGGGTGGACAGAACCCCCAACAGTGACACGTCGATTAGTGAATTGTCCGTTTTCGGTTTTCAAGAGGCGCCGTGGCCGTTATTTTCCAGGCTTGCGCCCGCCAGGTTTGGGCCCGAAAGCGTTTACACTAAACCACGTTTTACTAAAGGGAGGTCTGTCCATCCCCGACTTCGGGGGGGAGTCGGTATTGATCCAGATTTACAAGAGTTTGGGGGGGAGCCGGTACTTCTTCCGATGTACGAGACGTCCAGGCAGAGCTCGTATGGTGCCCGATGTGGGAAAGTTGTTGGGGGAGCCGGAACTGGTGCTTGTTTGGTTGTACGAGATGTTCTAATGGAGCTGCTACTTATTCCGAGTTGAGAGAGCTCCAGGTGGAGCCGGTACTTTTTCCGACACACCCATGCGAGCGATATTTATTCCGATTGCAGCCATTGTGTTCAGGTCTGCTTCAAGGCCGTCTGCTGGCAGATAATTACCCAGTTCACGTCGAGGCTTCCCCTAAGGGGCATCATGTTCTTCCTGATGGCGCGTGTTGTTGCGGCTGCGTGCAGCCTTCCTCTGGCGCCTCTCCTGGGAAGAGGACTCGTCAGTGGAGTCGCGCCGTGTTCGATTGAGAATCGTTTTTAAGGTGATAGTCGCTTGGCCCTCGACCACCCAAGTCTTTTCCCGAGGTGGCTTCAAGAAGAGTGGGTGGACGGAGCAGCGGAGCAGAACGCCGCCCCGGCTTCGCAGTTCGTCTCGGCAGCGTAGCGGATCAGTCCAGGGCCAGCTCGTCGCCATTACCAGCGCATGCGGAAAGAGCAGGCGATGCCCAGGGGCACTGCCGCCTCGCAGCGACATGGTTACGACGGAGCTGAAGCCCGAGGTCATCTGTACGGTGGGGGCGTGCGTGAAGGAGTGTGCCCAGGGGGCTTCACAGACCCTGGAGGATCCCTCGTCTGAGGAGGTCGGCAGCGATGCCCATGGCCACTCCACGGATGGCGCTCCACCAGCTTCCAGACCCTGGACTCCCTCTCCAACGCTTCCTTTTATCCCGTGCCCTTCACCGCACCGCCATGCCGGGATCAGAGGCAGCGCAGGCGGGCGGAGGGGCCAGGCCGCCGTGGCCCTGGGAGCGGGCCCTAGGAGGGCGTGGAAGGCGGCCAGGAGCGGTCCCCGGGGTGCGAGGTCGGCAGAGAGGGGCATGCCAAGGGGGCGCCGACGCTGGGCCGAGGGAGTCCCGTGGACTGCCCAAGACGGCGCCAAGGCGGCCCGAAGAGGCTCGGAGGTGGCTCCAAGCAGGGGCCCCGAGGGGCGAAGTCGTCAACACCTCCTCGATCTGCCAGGTTGGCACCCTCCGCTAATTACGCTCTGCGGCTGAAGAACGGGCCCCAGAGGTTCAAAAGAGGGACCATCGGGTCCACAGTGAGCTCCCACGAGTGCCCAAGACGCCGCAAAGATAGCCTCAGATGGCCTGGGCTTGTCTCCAAGATGGCCTCAGGACGTGTCAAAGACGGCCCGAGACCGCCCCAAGATGATTCCAAGACTCTTTCAGAAGCGAAGCCACAAATGACCCCAAGATGGGGCTGAAAGAGGGCGACAAGACAGCATCACAAGGCTTCAAGACATGACCAGCCAGCAAACGCAGCGAGCAAGCAGCAGAGGCAACAGCAGCAAGAGATAACAGCAGCCATGAAAGCAATCACCAGGAGGCAGCGCGCGCAAGCTGACGCAATCAGCAGCATCATGAACCCGCTGCAGCGCCATTGGCTCATAGGTTCCATCCACAGGTTCACGCTAGACGTCACATCTACCCGCTGGGATCAGTGCGTGTCAGAATTTGGGACAGTGGCAGCTGGCTTTAGCGCCGCTTTGCAAGATATGAGGGCGAGGTTTGAGCCTGGCATCATCAGCTATTGCGCTGGGCTCAGCGCGTGCGAGAAGGATGAGCAGGGGCAGCGTGCTTTCGCGCTGATGCGTGAGATGTGAGAGGCGACGATGGAGCCCGAGATCATCAGCTACAGTAGAAGGGTGTCGCACCTCCTCGGGGTCAACCCAGAGGCCTCCAATCTGGGTAACATATGCCTCACGAGTGAGCGAGACTAGCAATCAAGCAACATATCTTGCAGCAAAGGCAGCAACGGAAGCCAAGAGGGACTAACACCTCGCACCAGAGAGCAGTTGGAGCTCCCAGCAGCAAGCGGCATCGACAAGCAGCAGAAAGCAATCAGCAATAAGTGGCAGCAAATAGCTGCATGCAGCAGCAAGCAGGAGCAGGCAAGAGGCAGGAGTATGATGCTGAGCAGGATGAGCAAGATAAGCCTTTGGTATCCTTCCGGGACCTTTGTCGTGAGGCCCATCCATAACCAGCGTATCTGCTGGCCGTGCTGCAAACCAAGCTGTTGCGTGCAAGAAGCTGTCGAGACGTGGTCTTGATCGGTTCGCATCGGTGTGACGTACATGTGCTGATTCATTTCCGACGAACAGGTTGCAGACCTACATTGCAGGCGTACGTGCGTGCGGAAAAGGCCTGGGAGTCAAAAGCACCCAAAATCGCTCCAGAGCGGCTGCTGAGCCGTCGACGAGGCGCGGTCGAGATTTGACACAAATGTGCAATGTTAAGTTATGTCCTCGGCCTCTGCGATAGTTGAAGACCCCTTTCGAGATCGCCGACGACGAGCGCTCCCATACGCCTAACATTGCCTGAAGACCGCTCCAGAGCCGCTCGAGAGGCCTCCAAAATTCTAGACGCTTCGCGCAACCCAACCAGCCCATCCAGAAACAATGCCCAGAGGAATTGCCTCGATCAGAGAAGTGGGCAGCACACAGAGGAAGGGTCACCCAGTGGAGGCCTCTTGGAGCGTCTTGGGGGCCCTCTTGGCGGTCCCGGACGCCTCTTAGAGCGTCTTGGGTGCCTCCGAGAGCTTTTTGGAGCCTCTTGGGGGTCTCTTGGGAGCCTCTTGGAGGCCTCTTGGGCGCCTGTTGGGGCCTCCTGGGGCCTCCTGGGCGCCTCTTGGGGCCCCGTTGAAGCGCTCTTGGGAGCCTTGGGAGCGCTCTTTGGGCCATCTTGGAGGACATCGATCAAACAAGAGAGGAGCATTAATTAGCGTTGCCCCTCGGGAGACCAAATAGTCGCATCTTGGGTCGCTTTTGGGGTGCTCGTGGAGCGCTCTTGGGGCCGTCTTGGGGCTTTCTTGAGCCTCTCTAAGAGCCCTCTTGGGCCATCTTGGAGCCATCTTGAGGCCTCTGATGGCTATCGGAAGCGAAAAGGCGAGAAAGCCAAAAACATTGATGTTCTCAAGGCTTGAGAAGGATTTTGGCATCTTCGGGGCCTCCTGGGGGAGCTCTGTGGCCACTTAGAGCCGTCTTGGAGCGGTCTTGGAACCTCTTGGAGCTTCGTGGGAGCCATCTTGAGGCATCTTGGGATATCGTGAGCCATCGTGGAGATCATATTGGGCTCTCCCAGGCGCTCTTGGAGTCATCTGAATCAGTGCCCCCCCTAGGAGGCCAAACTGTGGCCAAAATCTCAGGAACATCAGCGATTCTGGCATTCTCGCCGAGGCCCCTTGGAGCGTCTTGGGTGCCTCTCGGGGGCCTCTTGGGGCCTCTTGGAGGTCTCTTGGGAGCCTCTTGGGGGCAAGCATCCTGGGGGCCTCTTGGGGCCTCCTGGCCACCTCTTGGGGCCCTCTTGGGGCACCCTTGGGAGCACTCTTGGGGCCATCTCGGAGGAGATCGATCAAAGACGGCGGGGGGTCCTTAATTAGGGTCCCTCTCCAGGATGCCAAAATGGAGCCAAAACCTTAGTCAAACAACTGAGTTTGGCTTCCTCGCCGAGGCCATCTTGGACGCTCCAACTACCCGCGAAACCCCGCGTCCAGGTGCAGGGGAGGGGGTAGGGGGAGGGGTAAACCCCTCCCCGAAGGGGAAGAAGGGGGTTGGAAGAGGAAGCTCCGTAGACAACCTACGCCCTAAAGGGCTGGTGTGATTCCCCCCAGAAGCGCCCAGAACGGCCCAGGTGCACTGAGAAGACCACCCGAGGAGGCCGAAATCCTTGAGTTTGCGGAGGTTGTTAAAGGTTTTCTGGGTTCTACGCATGTCGCGCAAAGGCAGCCCAAGACAGCTCCTGGATCCACTCGAAGCGCTTCAAGATTGCCCAACAGGCCCCGATCAGCGCCTCGACGCGGCCCGAAAGTGGTCCACGACAGCTCCCGGAGCGAGAGAAAGACATCTTGCGGGGCGGCCTCTGAGCCCTCGGGGAGACGAGAGCGATGCTGAACGCAAGGGTGAAGTCGGGCATGTCCCTCTGCAGGAGGAATCTTGTTTTTTTCCAAGTCGCAGCGTCAGACTATGTCAGACTATGCTCAGGCATCTGTTTGACTCTTGCTCATCGCCCGTCCCCCAAAAAAGCAGCCCGTGGGAGGACGTGCCTGGCCCAATGCAGGGGTGGCATGCCGAGTTCTGCCCGCGACCCCAGGGTCGGGCGCCGGGATGCCGGTGCACCCCTGCCGCGGGCCGTGTGGAGTTCTCGAAGACGTTTGCGCTTAAGTCGGGCCTGTCCCTCTACAGGAGGAAAATTGTCTGGGGACTATTTTGTTTGAGTATTTTATCCTTTTGGAATATTGTTGGGTTGTGTTTTTCATATTTGTTATGCATCGCCGAAAATCCCCCTGTAGGGGGACACGCCCGCCTGCGCGGCGAATCACCGCCGCCCCCAGGCCTCTTCAGGATGCGGTGGGGGCCCATGCCAAGGAGCACCCTGCTTGCCTCCAGGGTGCCAAGAGGGTTCCTGGGCTTCGATGGCTTTGCTGCGGGAAGCGTGACGCTCCCACACCAGAAAGCCAGTGGGCGTCCTGGGGTCTCAGGGTTGGGTTTCTCGTGGGAAGGTTTCTTGTGGACTGGCCTCCGCAGTACGCTCATGTGGCCAAACATTCGGGCGCAGCTTGTCCACGCTGTTGGACCGTGCGGGGAACACCTGGGGGAGGAACGGAGGATGAGGAGAGGGAGGAGAAGGAGGAGGAGCAGAAGGATAAGGAGACCTCTTGGGAGCTTCCAGGTCATTCTTGGGGCCTCCTGGGAACTTCCTTGGGGCCACTTGGAGGCCTCTTGGGGGCCTCATTGGACATCTTGAGGCCCTTTTGGGGCCGTCTGGGGGTGCTTATTGGGTCGTTCTGGGGCCATCTTATAGGCCTCTTGGGCGATCTTGGGGCAATCTAGCGGGCCTCTTGGGCCGTCTTGGGCCGTCGCAAAGCCGTTTTGAGGCTAATGTCCAGATCCGTCGAACATTAAAGGGCAATCAATGATGTTGGCCTCATCGGGCCTCCCTGGAGGACCTCTTGGAAGCCTCTTGGACCGTCTCATGCGTCTCTTGGGCCGTCTTGGGCTCTCTTGGACCATTTCGGCGGTCTTGGAGGCATCTTGGGACCGCCTTCGAGGGCATCTTGGGGCTATCTTGGGCTCTCTTGGGGTCATCTTGGCCGTCTTGGAGGCATCTTAGAGGCCATCTTGGCCGTTTTGGAGGCATTTTGGAGGCCATCTTGGCCGTTTTGGAGGCGACTTGAGCAACGGGTGGCAGTTGTTCGGCGCTCTCTGGGTGACCGGCAAGCGGCTTGGGCCGAGACCCCACTGGGAGTTCTTCAGAAACGAGCCAACAACCGCCCATACGTCCAGCACGACGGGCACCCTTGTGATAGATCAACAAAGGCGTTGGATGTCGGAAAGCGCGCGTAGTGTCGCGACCTGTTAGCGGGGAAGAAAACAAGGAAGAGTGTGAGGGGGTTGGCCTCTGCGGCCTCAAATGACGGAACGCGCGTGTAGCGTGCGATCCGGTAGTCGGGAGAAATGCAATTAGGGGGAGTTTGAGGGGGTGGCATCTGCATTGCGGGATGACGGAAAGCGCGCGTAGCGTGCGATCCGTTAGCCGGAAGGAATTAATCAGGGGGAGTGTGAGGGGGTGGCCTCTGTATTGCGCGCGCTTTCGGGATAACGGAAAGGGCGAGGTACGAGTGATGACGTTCTGGTGTGGGCGAAGCCGTAAAGGGAGGGGTTCCAGGAGAGGGGGGTAGGGGGAGGGAATGGGCGTCGATGGCCGTTTTCGGATTTTCCCTCGGGTTTTTGTATGTTTTCGGGTTCTTCCCTTTTCTGTCCCAGAAGGGCCCTAGACGGCCCAAGAGGCCCCAAAGATCGGCCCAAGAGGCTTCCGAGACGCCCCGAGAGGCGTCCAAGAGGCGGTCCAACAGGCCCCCAAGAGGCCAAAATCATATATATATATATATATATATATATATATTCGGAAAACGTACATTTTTAGCACGACTTTTCGGCTTTCACGGCGTTGACGACGGGCTCAGAGGCCCCCAAGACCGCTCCACGACGGCCCAAGAGGCTCGCAAGAGGCCGCGCTCTTGGGGCCGTCTTGGGGCCCTCTTGGGCCCCTCGTGGGACGATCTTGGGCCGTCTTGGGGCCATCTTGAGGCCTCAAGAGCCCATCGGAGGCGAAAAAGTGAATAGGCAAACCAACATTGATGCTCATTAGGTTTTTGAAGGATTTTGGCCTCTTGGGGGAGTCCTCGGAGGGCTCGGAGGGTACTTGAAACCGTCTTGGTGCCGTCTTGAGGCCTTTTGGATGCGTGACGGAGGCTATCTTGAGCCATCTACCGCTATCTTGGGCCATCTTGGAGGCCATCTCGCACTCTCTGAAGCCCTCTTGGAGCCATCTTTGGCCGAAAAGGGCCCTCTGACACCTCGCGGCTGGGCCCGCCCAGACGCAGGGAGGGGGGGTGGAGGTAAACCTCCCGAGTAGGGAAAGGAAGGAGGTTGGAAAAAGAAACGCTCTAGACCACCTGCGCCCAGAGGGCTGGCGGGATACGGTTTGTTGCTTCTCGGGGCCCTCTCGGGAGGCTCTTGGGATCCTCTTGGGGCGTCTCGACGACTTCTTGGGCCGTCTTGGGGCCATCTCGGGCGTCGTGGACCGATGGCTCGGCGATGCAGGGCCCTCTTGGACGGACTGGGCGGCGTCGTGTGGCCCTCTGGGCCCGTCCGGAAAAGCCGCGCGAGATGTCGTGACAGGTCCCAGGGCCCCGGAAGAGTGGAACTCGCAGGACGCAGGGCCGAGGCTCCAGGAGACTGGGCAGGGGACCCGGCACCCCAGCTCTTACCAGTTTGAAACATGTCCCTATCCCTATGTTTCACATCACCTCACCTCGATGCCGATCTTAAGGATTCCCTCAGTTTCTGAGGGCCTATCCATAAGATTGTCCTCGCTTTTTGCTCGCCCATCTTAGGGATAGGGATACGTTCGAGGTCGAGGCTGGTTAAGCTCGCGCCTCAAGGGCACGCTTTGGCGCATGTCCGCGGCCCCGTGGTCGGGCGCCGAAGCGTTGGCACCCCGGCCTCCGGCCGCGGACATGATTTCACCAGCCGCCCCCGCCTTCGCTTTCGTCCTTGGGGCCGCGGCGCGCGCCGGCGCCGGGAGCTTCCTGGGCACGGCGCCCGTCGCCGCCGGCAGCACCCACAGATGCGCGCTCCCGCTCCCCTCACGGGCGCCCCAGGCTGGAGAGAGCGAGCGTGGGGCCCGGCTTTGGCGGGTGCCCCTAGCGGCACCACCTGGGCCCCCCCGCAAGTGGGCGTAGCCCACGAAGTCAGCCCTAGTCCAGCCCTAGTCAGCCCTAGTCAGCTGCAACGCTGGGGTCAGCGCTTGCCCGGGAAAGGCGCGCGCTTGTGGCGGGCGCTGGCGCTGCTCTCGCCAGGCACATCGCTGGAGTCAGCGTGTCCAGGGAAAGCAGGCAGTGGCAGGCTTCGAAAAAGAAACAACTGCGTAAACATAAATCGTTGGAGCCCCGCGCGGGTTTCTTGGATCCGCGCGGGGCCCCCCCCTAGGGGCGCCGCCTCTGGCGCCGCCCCTGGCTTGCTCTGCGCGCGAGGGAGGGGGGGGGCCTCGGCGCGCAACCGAGAACTCCGCGCGGTCCTCCAACAGCTCATGGTCGTTAGGCAGCTGCTCTCTCCTGTGGGGGCGACCCGGCACTGGCCAGCGGGATGCGGAAAAGGGTACAGGCGGGAGCCGACCTCGCCAGCCGCGGTGAGGCAACCAGCGGCTGGGAAGACGGCGGGGCGTGGCAGCAGGCGCCGGCGCTGTCCGGCGGGCTGCTGCTGCAGGCGAGCAGCTCAGGCCGCCCGCGGCGCTACGCTCCAAGCTGTGGTCGAAGGCATACACAATACACTTCCGTGCGACTCGTGATGTGATAAAAGGAGATGCGTCTTACGACTTGGGGAGGGATCTCGCGACATCATGGGCCGTTGCTCCGTTTGGGTGCACAGGGCCAGCGAGCGGCAAGGGAAGCGGGGCGCGCAAGGGGGGAAGCGGAGTGCGGGAATGAGGAGGAGGAGGAGGCGGAGGAGGGGGAGGCGAACGTGGGACGTGAAAATTGAGAGGACAAGTGGAGGATAATGAGGCGCTAGTGGGACGCGTAAGTGGGCCTCGCCTGTCTTGTCAATAGCATGCTTCCTTGTATAAAAACGACGCGCGCAGTCCAGCGATACTTCCCAGAAGCCAGACTTCCAGCGCTTGAAGAGAAACTCAGCCACGACCACATTTGGGCGCGCCGCAAGCTCAAAATGCATGCTTAAACATTTGTGCGGTCCTCGTGTGTCGCGTGACCAATTGTACCGTCTTGCTCTGAGTAGCGTATGGTTCATCTGATTGCAACTCGTCCGCATCATGCCCGATGCGCGTTCCTGTTTCACCATGCTGCCCTCCTCTGAAGGGAGGCGGAGGGCGTCGGTGACCGAGGGGTGGCAGAGCGGTAGGGGCGTGGGGGAGGGGGGCGGATGGATGGGGTGTTTAGGACCCTGTGTCGCCATCTTGGAGGCCAGGAGCAATCATATCTGAGCACGGTTAGAGGCACGCGCATCGGGCCCGCGTTGGACATGTGGAGGCATGCGGGGCTGGAAGCCGACAGGCAACAGGGGGTGATAAGCCAGTGCGGCGACCATGGGCGGGTGGCGCTGGGCCCTCGCCTGGAGAGGTGCGGCCAGTGCGCACGGAAGGGCAACACGACGTGCATTGCTCACGTGGGATCGATTTTTGTGGGACTCTTATGGGTTGTTTGCCCTGGCGTTGTTGGTTTGCTTGGCAGTCCTAGTTCTCCAACTATATCGTAGAACGCGCTGTTGTGCGGTCGCGCCACACAAACAAAAGTCGTACGGAGCATAGTTCTCTCACGAGGCATCCTCACCGTGTGTTCGCATGCAATGTCTGCCGTATTGCACCCTTTCTACCTGGCATCGCCGTGCTCGTTGCAAGCATGTCGCAGGCGAGACGAACACATACAATATTGTGATTGTGTGTCCTGTCTCCGGCCCATAAGATGCGACGCCGAAGCTGTCGCATGATGGCAGAAGGGAGCTCACAGGTGTGCGTATGCTCGGTTGTGGGAGGGTGAGGTGTGGCAAGTGCTGGAGGGCCACAAGAAGGACGTGATGCCTATATGGGAGAGCATCCAGAACGACGATCGTCACGTTGCCTGGGGACCAATTCTTTAGCTCCGGATCAACCGCGTGCATTATGCAAGTATTCCGTTGTTCTTCCTCTTTTCTTCGTTTGGGGTCGACTTTGATCTACAGAAGTCTCTTTGCGGAAGGATGCTTGTTCTTCAATCTCAACCAGGTCCTCGCAGGTCTTCGGAAAAGGATCGGAGTGTTTCAGTCCTGAGCCAGCCACCCGTCTGCATCAGCTTGCTGGGGCTTCGACCATTACCCCATCTCGCCTATTTATTTCGCTCCTCGTCCTGCACGTCCTCCTTCGCTCGGCGATGCAAGGGCCAGGTCTGGTCTGTTGGGGTGTGGCGGCTGTCGCCCATCGCCTAGACGTCTCTCTCTCTCTCTCCCTCTCTCCTTCTATCTCTCTCTCTCTCTCTCTTCCTCTCTCGCTCTCTACCTCTCTCTCTCTCTCTCGCGATTCCCCAGACAGTGCTTCCACGTAGGTTTCCTTATTTCTCTTCGAAGGGACGTGGCCTGTCTGTTGGTCTGGCGGCTATGTTGCCGCCGTCGCCGCCTCGTCGCCGCCCGTCGTCGTGGCATGTCTGTCGGTCGCCGCGCTTGCTGCCGCCGTCGCCGCCCCAACGCCGCCCGTCGTCTGGACCTGTCTGTCGGTCGCCGCGCTTGCTGTGTCGTCGCCGCCTCGTCGCCGCCCGTCGTCTGGGCCTCTCTGTCAGTCGCCGCGCTCATTGCCGCCGTCGCCGCGCCGTCGCCGCCCCACTTGATTCTCCTTTCCAAAAAGAAAAATAAACTCTAACCCCCCCCGGCGTTATCGGCCACCCCTTCGCGTATGTAAATCATTTATGATTCTGACCACATGTCCATCCGAAATATGAATTTGCACTATCCCATGGGGGGCCGGGATCGGTCCCCCTGAGGTTCCCTGGTAAAAAACAATACGCGGGGACAGTTTGTGTTCTAGCATAAGACTTTTCCACGTATCCTTTGCAAACAATGGGACGAAGTGCACACGCGCGCGTCGTCGCGCGCGCATGCCGGAATCCTTCAAAAACCTTCGGTGTCGGAAGGAATTCGCAATCGAGTTCCCCAACAACATACAAAAACACACGGTTTCGCAACACTGATTTGCTAAAAAAGCTTAGGCGCGAGCTCTCGCGAAATCTTAAGGAAACCATCGATGTTTCAACGTTTTCACAAAATTATGCCAAACGGGCTTCGCGCAGGGCGCATGTCCAAATCTGTCGAACGCCCTTGCGCGTGTGCCGTCGCGAGAATCATTTGCAACAAATTGGACGAAGTGCCGACGCGAGCGTCGTCGCGCGCGTGTGCCGAAATCCTGCACAACCCATCGGTTTCGGAAGGATTTCAAAATCGTGTGTCCAAGTAACCTACAGAAACACAAGGTTTCGCAACACGGATTTTCAACCAAAGCGTGCGCGCGCGTTCTTGCGTCGTCGTCGTTGTCGTCGTCGTCGCCGTCCTCCCTCCTCCCGCGTCGTCGTCGTCGTCGTCGTCGCCTACGTCGTCCTCTGTCTTTTCTCGTGTTCGTCGTCGTCGTCCTCTTGGGCGCCGTGGTCGTTTCCGTCGTCGTTGTCGCGTCGTGGTCGTCGTTTCTTCTCGTCCCGTCGACGTCGTCGTCCGTCGTCGGCGTCTCATCGTCGTCCTCTTATTTCGTCGCCGTCGTCGTCGTCGTCGTCGTCGTCTTCCCTCCTCCCTCGTCGTTGTCGCCGTCGTCGTCCTTCCTCTCCGTCTTCGTCGTCGTCGTCGTCGTCCTCCTCCCTCCTCCCTCGTCGTTGTCGTCGATGTCGCCGTCGTCGTCCTCCCTCCTCCCTCGTCGTCGTCGTCGTCTTCGTTGGCGGCGTCGTTGTCGTCGTGGTCGTCGTCGTCGTTGTCTTCGTCGTCGTCGGCGTCGGCGTCGTCGTCGTCGGCGTCGTCGTCGTCGTCGTCGGCGTTGTCATCGTCGTCGTCGTCGGCGTCAACGGCGTCGTCGTCGTCGGTGTCGTCGTCGTCGTTGTCGTCGTCGAAGTCGTTGGAGACGTCGTCGGTGTCGTCGTAGTTGGTGTCGGCGGCGCCGTCGTCGTCGTTGTCGCTGTCGTCGTTGGCGTCGGTGTCGTAGCCAAATGCCATGTGGTACCTACCGTCATGGTCTTGTCTTAAAAGGTCTTGCGACCAAGTTGCGGGTGGGAGGGTGGGATGTTTGCACGAGCAGTGGAGAGGACAGCTTCAAGACGGTCAAAATCAATTCTCCTTTCTAAAAAGACAATAGACTCTACCCCCCCCCCCCGACTTATCGGTTCCCCCTGGGATAGTATTATTTCATTTTTGTTTCCGCACACTTGCCCATCCTAAACATGAAACCATACCATCCCAGCTCGGCCGGGTTCCCCCCCCTGAGGTTCCCTTGTAAAAAACACTATGCGTTAACATTTGTTGGTTTTAACATATCACTTTTTCACGAACCCCTTGCAAAAAATGGGACGAAGTGCACACGCGCGCGTCGTCGCGCGCGCATGCCGAAATCCTTCAAAAACCTTCGGTGCCGGAAGGATTTCGCAATCGAGTTTCCAAAAAACATACAAAAACACACGGTTTCGCAACACTGATTTGCTAAAAAAGCTTCCGCGCGAGCTCTTGCGAAATCTTGAGGAATCCATTGGATGGATTTCCGAGATTTTCACAAAATGCTACCAAACGGGCTTCGCGCGCGCGCATGTCGAAATCTGTCGAACGCCCTTGCGCGTGTGCCGTCGCGGGAATCCTCTTCAAAAAACGGGACGAAGTGCAGACGCGCGCGTCCTCGCGGGCGTTCGCCGAAAACCTTCAAAACCCATCGGTTTCGGAAGGATTTCAAAATCGTGCGTCCAAAAAACCTACAAAAACCCAAGGTTTCGCAACACGGATTTCCAACAAAAGCGTGCGCGCGCGCTCTTGCGTCGTCGTCGTCGTCGTCGCCGTCCTCCCTCCTCCCGCGTCGTCGTCGTCGTCGTCGCCTCCGTCGTCCTCTGTCTTTTCTCGTGTTCGTCGTCGTCGTCCTCTTTGGCGTCGTGGTCGTTTCCGTCGTCGTTGTCGCCGTGGTAGTCCTTCCTCCTCCTCCCACGTCGTCGTCGTCGTCCGTCGTCGGCGTTTCGTCGTCGTCCCTCCTATTTCGTCGCCGTCGTCGTCGTCGTCGTTGTAGTCGTCGTCTTCCCTCCTCCCTCGTCGTTGTCGTCGTCGGCGTCGCCGTCCTTCCTCCTTCGTCGTCGTTCGCGTCGTCGCCGTCCTCCCTCGTTGTCGTCGTTGTCGTCGTTGTCGCCGTCGTCGTCCTTCCTCCTCCCTCGTCGTCGCCTTCGTTGGCGTCGTCGTCGTCGTCGTTTTCGTCGTCGTCGGCGTCGGCGTCGTTGTCGTCGTCGAAGTCGTCGGAGACGTCGTCGGTGTCGTCGTCGTCGTTGTCGTCGGTGTCGACGTAGTCGGTCTTAATAGGTTTTGCAAACCAAGTTGCGGGTGGGTGGGTGGGATGTTTGCGCGAGCAGTGGGGAGGACATCTGCAAGACGGTCAAATATTAATTGCGCAACATACATTGTACCACATAGATTACACAGCATACGTTTTACCACATCGACTGCACTTCATGGATTGCGCACCACATAGCTCGCACAACCTAGACTGCACCACATTGATCGAACCACGTAGACTGCACCACGTCGATCGCACCTCAGAGATTGCAGCACATCCATCGCTCTAGATATAGGGCACAGCATAGATTCCCCTCTCTAAAAAGAGTAGACTCTACCCTCCCGGCCTTATCGCTTCCCCCTGGGCTAGTATAATTTCACATATATATATATATAGTGCACACTCGTCCATGCTAAATATGAAATCGTATCATCCCAGCCAAACCGGGTTCCCCCCCTGAGGTCCCCTTGTAAAAAACGCTATGCGGTTGCATTTTTGGTTCTAACAAAACACTTTTCGCGAATCCCTTGCGCCCGTGATTGCCCGACCAAACGTGTATCCAAGTACGTGTGCTACAGAGCCATCGCAGAGCAAGGCATGCCTGTCAGGGCCTGTACCGCGCCGAGGTAAAAACCAAAAAAAAAAACTCCGACGGAAGGACCCCGCATGATAATCTCTTTAGCTTGCATGGGGGTATCCTCCTGCCCCTTCCCTTCTCCAACCTACTCTTGCCTCCTCGTTCTCCTCCTGTCTGCTCCTCCTCCTGCCTCAACCCCTGCCTCTTCCTCCTCTTCTTGCCTCCTCCACCTCCTCCCCCTCCCCCTCGTTATGCTTCCTCCCCCCCATTCCCCCTGCCCCTCCTGCCTCCTGCCTCCTCCTCCTGCTCTCCCTCTCCCTCCTCCTCCTCCTCCTCCTCATCCCCTGTCCTCCTCCTCTCCCTCTCCCTCATCCGCTCCTCCTCCTCCTCCTCCTCCTCCTCCTCCTCCTCGTTTCCATATTCCTCCCCCCTCCTCCCCCCCCCTCCTCCTCCTCCTCCTCCTCCTCCTCCTGCCTCCTCCTTAGGCCTCCTGCCCCCTCCTGGGGCCTCCTGGGGCCTCTTGGGGCCTCCTGGAGCCTTCTGGGCCTTCCGGGACCTACTGGGGCCTCCTCGGGCATTCCTCCTCCTCCTTTTCCTCCTCGTCCTTCCTCCCCTCAGCCTCTTCCTCTTCCTGCTTTCCTGTCTCGTCCTGCATCATCCCTCCTCCTTTTCCTGGCAATCCATCCTCCTCGTCCTCGTGCGGAACACGACCCAGAGGAAGCGCACGACGTGCGTCCCAGCCGATACGCGCCGGAGGACGACCCAGAGGAAGCGCGCGCCGGAGGATGACCCGGAGGAACCACGTGAGCTGCGGGAACCATAGGAAGGCTCCCGCCTGACGCGTCCTCACAATTCACTCACAGACGAGGGTCCCGCTTGATACTTCTTCCAAATTCATACCTGAGGAGCCCAAAAGTGACGACAGTTACAGGAATCCGATGACCCGCTCGGATTAATAACATGATCTGCGGGCCCCATAGGGAGGGGGCTCCCGCTTGAGACTTGCTCCCA